AAGCCCCCTGGGAATCCATGAAAGCAGTTACCCCCCTATTCCAGATGGGCAGGGGGCAGCCATGTACAAAGTGTGATGTATATCAACTTTTAGTTTTTGTTTCTCAGATCCCACTGGATCCATTCATCACCCCTCATGCTGTCTTTCTGCTTTCATTACCCTAAAATAAGCAGACAGCAAAGGAAGTTCAGAAAAGCATATTTTTTCTTTCTTGACAGTTATTAGAAGAAGGCGAGCTATTCAAAGACCCAGCTCACCACGTGGCTGTAAAAGTGCAAAGGACAAAATAAATTCATTCTAACCAACCTGGCGCATTTTGCATTAACTGTTCGTGTGAATTTCAGATTTCCATGCTACCCGACAACAAGGAGAGTGATGGGAATTCTCCGAAGGCAGGCCAAGAAACTGGAGTCTGTGAGGCAGCTGACAGCAGGTTAGGGTGGGTGATGATTGCAGTGATGGGGCCTGCACCCCATGTGTATCCAGGCAGCTTAGGATGGGTTCTGGTGGTAAATCACATTCACACACCACCTAATACACTAGTGCACCCATCCCCCCAGAGAGGGGGAAATCCACCAGCTGCTTTGTCTTCTAAGGCAGCAAATGCAGCCTGGGTCTGGACAACTAGGTGTCACGTGGTGAGTTCTGCTCCCTGGTCTCTTCTCACCAGAAAGCTGGGGCAGAGTGTGTCAAATACGGCAAGAAGGAGGGAGCCAGACTCACTAAGATAGAACCCTGAGGAGAACTGGTAAAAATACTTTTAAATTCTCTTTTCTTTATTAATATTCACCTAAGGATAAGCTATACTGACGTCAGTCTCATTTGATGGGCTGAGAAATCAGTTGCCCACTGGAAGTAGGGAGTTATCTGTGTATGGAGTCATACAGACCTGAGCTGTCTGGACCTGGCTCTTACGTCAGAAAGTGCCAATAGCCCTGGTTTGCCTGGGACAATCTGGTCTTTAATGTCCCACCCTGGGTAATTGCTGTTCCAGCCACTATCCA